GGGTCATTTCCCAAATTTAAACCTCAGTTCCATCTATAAAATGGAAGCATGGGAAGGAGACAGAAGCATGTCCATTGACCAAAGCTGTTGCACTGGATCCAGTCTGGCATTTATACTGTGCACTTAAGAAGCTTCTTGGATGAGAAGCGAAACATCTTCAAGGAAAAACAAAGTCCAGTTGCCTTTTGAAAAAGCCCCTTTGGGACAACCATGACCTGGATGATTGAGAATCTCCATAGAAATTTACTTTTGTGTTTCAATAAGGATTTGTTCAGTTAATCATGACTGCTACTTATAGGGTTCACACAACACAACTACACTGGAGTGAGTGCAGGCAAATTACTGAACTACCAACTAGACTTCAACACTTCAGTCTAGGGCTGTGAATGTCCAACTTTCAATTTAGTACAAACAGTTGATCACCATTTTATGGCTTAGGAGCTTAAACTGAACAATACTGGAAGCTTTCCAAAGCATGTGTAGTGTTCAGCCTGCTCTCTTTCGATGTATATAGGTAGTCCTCAATGTATGAACACAATTGAGCCCAAAATTTATGTTGCCAAAGTAGACAGTTGTTAAATGAGTTTTGCCCCATTTTACAACCTTACTTGCTACAATTGTTAAGTGAATCACTGCAGTTGTTAGGTTAGTAACCGGGTTGTTAAGTGAATCTGGCTTCCCCATGGACTTTGCTTGTTAGAAGGTCGTAAAAGAGGATCACATGACTGTGGCACACAGTAACGGTCGTAAATATGAATCAGTTGCAGAGTATCTGAATTTGTGATCATGGGGATCATGGGCAAAGGTTGTAATCGTGAAAAACAGTCGCTTTTTTCAGTGCTGTTGTAACTTCAAAACAGTCACTAAGTGAACTGTTGTAAATCGAGGACTACCTGTATAATATTGCTAAAGCAGCAATCAGGAAGCTGCTGAGCTAACTAATACAATTGTAATTGAAGCATTAATGCCAGTGTTTTATTTTTAAAAGCACAGCAATTAATTTGGAAAGATCATTAGCAGTAAAACAGGTTGTGCCATGCTCCGGTGATGGTTTTTGTGTTCTGCAAAGTTATCTGGAACCCAAACAATGATAATGATACACTGCAAAGCATATTGTTGACCATTAGACTCACCCATTTCTTTGTTCTCTCAACATATTTAATCTGCAAGACACACTTGGTTGCTGGTCACAACAGAATCTGGAAAGCTGTTGTCGACTTGATTTGTCTCTTCAAGACAAGCTTTCAGAATACAGCCTGCTTCACAAATGTGATAAAAAATACCACAAACATTCACAAAATGTACTGGTGTTTAATGCACCCTTTGCTTGATTCCTGTCCTGGTAAAGATCACTGCAGAGAATAGTATCTTATGTCTTTGCTAAATTACATCTTTTAGTCTTTTCATGCATTTTATAGGTGAGGATATATTTTTGTAGAACACAAAAGCCTCCACTAGAGCTTCACGCAACCTGTTTTTCTGCTAATAATTTTTCTTGTCCCCTAATTAAGTTTTCCATCAGCCCCCCACACTGATAAAGAGAATAATGGCAAGTGAAAAACATAAATCTTGTCTGAATACCTCCCAATACTTACTAAGTCGCAAGTTAGCCTTCAGAATTTTTGTGATCCAGCTGTTGAGGTACTGAGACCGAAGTGACGTGATCCTTGCGTGGGCCTTCAAATCATCAAACATTTTCTCCAGCAGAGTCTGAGTGAAATGTTTGGAGTGCAAACCTCTCAGCAGGGGCTGCCAGAAACTAAGAAATGCTCGAGGGATCTTAAAATCCAACTTGTGAGTTTCTACACTCCAAACAACAAGGCAAAAGAGGGGCAAGGAAAAAAAATAGAAACTGAACATTATATATGAACAATACTTAATCCTCAGTGCCCTTAAAAGTTACAAAATTAATTTTTGATATTAATTCCTTGGGGTCCAAGGAAATAAAACCATAATCAATATTCCCAAGAGAGAAAGAAGTGTAAGGACAAACATCATCAAATATGTGGCTACTATTTTAAAAAGGGCAAGAAAAATAAAATAGATGAGGCCCTTGGGCAAACATTTTCTTGGAAGACGAAGAATTTAAAAGAGCTGCAACTGTAAAAATAATTCAGGATGATTGGGGGTCAGAGGGCAGAGACTACCAAGCAATCTTAGTGAAGAAAAAGTTACTCTTTCCTTGAATTTTTGAATTCTTCACTAGTATGAACTCATTTTTCACTATGTAGATTGGGGGGTGGGGTGTCAAACGAATTTCATTGAGAGCCGCATCAGGATTGTGGTTGACTTTCGGGTACTGGGGTTGGCACATGGTGGGTGTGGCCAGTCCCCACTGCTGCTGTGTTCTTTGTTTCTCTCTTTCTTTGCCTCTGAGAAAGGAGAGATTTGTTTGGAAATGCTTTTTGTGCCAAGAATGGATGATCCTGGGTGCTATAATATCGCGCAAATTCAGGCACCCATCCTGTTTTGCAGAGAGGCAAGGACCCAGGAACTTTCATTCTCGGTGCGAAAAGTGTTGCTGTCCTCCATTGTCCATGCAAATGGAGGGGTGGGGGAGAAAGAGAGTGCGAGAGCAATCAATGTGTGAGTGAGTGAATGAGGGGAAGAGAGAGAGAGAGGAGAGAGAGAGAGAAAGAAAGAAATCTTCAGCCAGGGCACCCGAGCTGCTGGTAGCAGCGCAGGTGGTAGGAGGCACCTGAGCAGCAAGGTAGGTGGGGTGGAGTATGAAGCAAGGCAGGGTGTGGAGGGCCCCCCCCCCCCCGCACTGGCTTACCTGAGTTCCATGCCAACGAGACAGAAAGATAGAGGAGGGGGGCCCTCTCCAAACTTTGTTTGTGTGTATGTATGAAAGAGAGAGAGAAAACTATCCCTGCTTCAGTCGGGGGGGGGGGCATTCAAGCTGCTGGTAGCAGGGGGGGGAGCCACCTGAGCAGCCTTTTTCTCCCCATCCTCCACACTCAACCAGCGGTGGGCTCTGCGGGACAGGTGGGCTTCTCATTTCTCCCCTGGCACAGTAAACTCCAGCTTCAGTCGGGGCATTCAAGCTGCTGGTAGCAGGGGGGGGAGCCACCTGAGCAGCCTTTTTCTCCCCATCCTCCACACTCAACCAGCGGTGGGCTCTGCGGGACAGGTGGGCTTCTCATTTCTCCCCTGGCACAGTAAACTCCAGCTT